CCCCCTTACCCGGTTTGAATTCCCCATGTCCATCAGTCTATACATTATCAGCTTGGAAGTCTCATTTCATGACCAGATTTCTCCCCAATTCCATCTTGCCGGTTTTCTTTTAGTTTATTAATTTAAATAATATTTGACTTCAAATGTCCAATCTAACAAAGGTCTTTAATTTCCTTGATCTTTACCACTCCTCCCGTTGTTCTTTCCGTGTCGTAATCAGTCCTTTATTCTTCTTATTCCTCACTTTCTCAGGTTTCTTGTCCTGTTCAGCTGCTAAAACTTTCTAATTCAGAAATCTAGTGTCTCTGCAGAGGTTTGTTATTCAGGAACAAAACTTACGTCCAGTCCCTTTCTTTCTTCAATAAAAAATTCCATTGTCTTCCTCTGTAGACAAAATACTCTTTCAGTTTTGCAGCTTTCCCAGAAGATAACAAATCCTGTGCGAATCCCAGGGTATTTTTCCACTTACGACCGTTCTTGTAGTATCCCGAAACCCCTCTAGGGGGATTGTAATAACTTTGTATCCTCTAATCCAAAAGTCAAATTGTTGCTTATTTTCCAACAGTTTATATCCATATTATAACAAATTGTAACAAAATTAACCAGCAAGGTCCTCATAAAATCCTCTTTATATTCTCCAGCTTTGACAGCCACTTTGACAGCTGTCAAAGTCTCCGTCTCTCTTCACCAGGCTCCACGAATCGCCCGGTTCCCAGGGGGGTTGCATTTTCTTCTCACCCTCCACTCTTCTCCTCCAGCACATTTCTTATAATTTCCCATCGTGAAATTAATGATTTTTATCAGAGACATACTTCCCTTTGGACCTTGGTTACCCAGTCCTTGTTTTGGAATGCTTACAATAGGGGGGGGGATTGACTTCCTTTTAAATCGCCCCGCTCGTGCCAAATCCAAAATTTTGAACCCGGTTTCCCAATTACTCACGGGTTGTTGTTAATAGTCCAAATTTTCAATAGAAGAAGTCAGCGCTCTCCGTCGAATGGCATGCGGCTGCGCTCGGCAGGGAAAGCAGTGGACTCAAAGCACCACGCCACTCCCGGCACCCGATCCGAAGCCTTTAAAAAGGCTCCTTCACGAGTCGGGAGGGCGCTAATGGTGCAAGCCGAGTCACCCATGTCCACGGACTCCGTGCCCGTGGTTTTTAAGGGTCCCCGCGTCGCCGGCGCGGTAGGACCCAGCCCCTGCCGAGCAGACTCCCTCCGGAGCTCGGAGGGAGTCCGCCATTCGGCGATGGCGCTAACCCGGAAGTCATACGTCTGGGTTTCACCAGACATTTTGCTAGTTCAGCAAAAATCCTCCCGGATGCCATTTTTCTGAGTGATTCCTGGGCATGTCTGGGAAAACCAGGGCTTATGGCAGCCCTATCATAAGAGGCCCTCTAGTGAGATATATTGGGGGCTGAAGGCAAGGACTTGGCTGTAACCCAACAAATGGTCTGTAACTCAAGTTAGAGAGTATTCCGCAGCCTGTATCCCTAGAGATATTTTGGATTTACAACTCCCAACCCCTAACCATTAGCCATGCCGGTGGAAACTGATGGGAGGTGTAGCCCCAAACATCTGGAGGGCACCAGGTTGGGCAAGGCTGGTCTGTGGAGTGAAGCAAGGCAAGGCAGACAGGAAGGCAAGGAGGGTAGTAAATTTAGCAACAATTCAATATCTGCTGTACATCAACACAAGTATAGATAAAGGAAAGTAATAGGTAAAGGTAAAGGGACCCCTGACCATTAGGTCCAGTTGTGACCGACTCTGAGGTTGCGGCGCTCATCTCACTTTATTGGCCGAGGGAGCCGGCGTACAGCTTCCGGGTCATGTGGCCAGCATGACTAAGCCGCTTCTGGCGAACCAGAGCAGCGCACGGAAACACCGTTTACCTTCCCGCCGCAGTGGTACCTATTTATCTACTTGCACTCTGACGTGCTTTCAAACTGCTAGGTTGGCAGGAGCTGGGACAGAGCAACGGGAGCTCACCCATCGCGGGGATTCGAACCAACGACCTTCTGATCAGCAAGGCCTAGGCTCTGTGGTTTCCCCTGGAAAGTAATAGTGCCATTCTATTCTGCCTTGGTCGGACCACACCCTGGAGTACTGTGTCCAGTTCTGGGCACTACAATTTAAGAAGGATGTTGACAAGCTTGAATGTGTGCAGAGGAGGGCAACCAAGATAATCAAGGGTCTAGAAGCCAAGCCTTATGAGGAATGGTTGAAGTTTAGCATGGAAAAGAGGAGACTGGGAGGAGATATGATAGTCACCTTCGAATATCTTAAGGGATGCAGCAAGACTGTTTTCTCCTGCTCTGGAAGGTAGGACTCAAACCAATGAAATCAAGTTAAAAAGAAAGGAGATTCCGACTAAACATCTGTGAGAACTTTCTGACAGTAAGAGCTGTTCAACTGTGGAACAGGCTCCCATGAGGGGTGGTGATCGACTTGAGATTCCTACATTGCAGGGGGTTGGACCCTCGGGATCCCTTTGATTCTACGAAGAAACAATCTGCCCGGCTTAAGGAGATATGGCAGGTTTAACAGGAGAAGATGAAGCAGCACTGGAGTTGTCCCTTCTGTTTTGTGAGCAGCTGTTGAGCTAGCAAGGTTCAGCCTGACCATTCCACTTGGAATTCTGCAGTACTTCCTTCTAGCCAGCTGCACCAGGGAGCTGACAACAGAATTAGGGCATCAGTGGCTCCTTCCATGGCGGTCATGATGCAGTATGGAGTATCCAAGTCCAACATGCCTTGCACAAGTGATCCCTGGTACATGGTTTGCTGCAGGCATGTGGAGAATAGTCCATACTCCTCCTGGATGTTCCTGGCAGCAACTGCCATGGATTTTTAGCGTGCACCATCAAGAATCCACAGGCTATACCCTGACAGTCACAAAACCATGTTTGTGGCTGACCTCTCCAGGCCAAGTATAACATCTGCAGCAGCCCTTAAGACTATCCAGAGATGCAGCAAAACAAAGAAGCTCAATCACTGGTAGCATAAGAACAAAGGAAGAACTTGGGGCATTTCAAGCTGTGCATTTCATAATACTGTTAGCAGCTCCCATCAGATGTTTTTCTTCATTAGGCTCTTCCTGTGACCCCTCAGGAGGCAGGAGTGCCAAAATGATCAGGGCAAAGCAGCCTGAGTTCTTTTGCCTTCAGCTGTGTGTTTATCACTTGCCCTGGTCAGCTCTTTCTCTTTTACCCAAACACTTCCAGAAAAACAGCAGTTAACCAAAAGCCCTTATAATCTAAACACGGTTCTCCCATACTGGAATTCTCTCCCAATATCTGAGCCAGTCGAATTTGCAAAGCAACAGATGGAACCAAAGAAGGGAACTTGAAAGTGTAGATGAGAACCTTGGGCTGTTCTCAATGCAGAAGCTCCGGTTATCAAAGAGACAAGCGGCTTTTGTAAGCTAGGAGGAAAAAAGGACTTGGCTTTTCTGCAGTGGGAACTGCTGTTATGGAAATAGCCAGCCAAACTCTGGATGTGTGGACAAGGATCTCTCCCCCCTCTGTCTCTCTCATGCACACATTTCGTAGGTTGGATCTTAAAAGTACAGATTATCTAGAAGTAAGATTTTGTTTCTTTCTTGTGGAAATGGGATCGCATATGCATGCACACACCCTCTCACACAAACTACGCAGAATGACTAGCAATAGGAAACCAAATGTCCAGAAGGTAGACTGTTTTTTCACTCTGGTTCAGTGGGACGTGGGTGATGCTGTGGGTTAAACCACAGAGCCTAGGACTTGCCGATCAGAAGGTTGGAGGTTCGAATCCCTGCAACGGGGTGAGCTCCCATTGCTCGTCCCTGCTCCTGCCCACCTAGCAGTTCGAAAGCACGTCAAAGTGCAAGTAGATTAATAGGTACCGCTCTGGCGGGAAGGTAAACGGCGTTTCCGTGCGCTGCTCTGGTTCACCAGAAGCGGCTTAGTCATGCTGGCCACATGACCCGGAAGCTGCACGCCGGTTCCCTGGGCCAGTAAAGCGAGATGAGCGCCGCAACCCCAGAGTCGGTCATGACTGAACCTAATGGTCAGGGATCTCTTTACCTTTACCTTCATTCTAGTTCAGCAAGATCAAAATTACATCTCCAAGTCCTGCTCAGTGATGCATCTATACCAGATATGGAGATTCTGCAACCCACCAGATATTGTCAGACTGTAGCTCCCAACAGCCCCAGTAAGCATAGCTGCTGGTTAAGGGATGATGGGTGTTAGAGTCCTACAACATTTGGAGTGCCACAGATTCCCCATCCCTGGTCCATACATCTGTGAGGCTGACTGTTGCTCACTTCTGGGTGTCAACATTCACTCCTGACCAGTCATTCCCACATCTCTTACACAAAACCACTGCTATTTTTTTCCTAGAAAAAGAGGTGCTGCAATTCACCATGAAAGCCTCCCTTGTTCTCTTATACAGTGGTACCTCGGGTTAAGTACTTAATTCGTTCCGGAGGTCCTTTCTTAACCTGAAACTGTTCTTAACCTGAAGCACCACTTTAGCTAATGGGGCCTCCTGCTGCCACTGCGCTGCCGGAGCACGATTTCTGTTCTCATCCTGAAGCAAAGTTCTTAACCTGAAGCAATATTTCTGGGTTAGTGGAGTCTGTAACCTGAAGCGTATGTAACCTGAGGTACCACTGTAAAGGCAACGTCACCCACCTGAGCTAATAGTCCAAACTTACGAACAGCTTTATACTTTCACAGCCTGTGCTACAACAAAAAAGTAAGCGGGGATAAATGTCCCTGGTATCTTCTTGGGAAGGGAAGGGTGGGAATTAAAACCTACAGGAAATTCTGGCATTTCTACTCCATGTAACTTTGTAAAAGGGCTTTTCTGTGCCAGAAGTGAGGTCCAGTGAGTTCCCGCTGAAAAAAAGCCCTGCACATAGCAATCATGAATCCTTAGCCATGGATGTTTCCCTGACACGTAACACAACATTTAGATTATCAATTAGAATCATAGAGTTGGAATGCAAGAATCTTTTTGCCCAACATGGGGTTCAAACCCACGACCCTGAGGTTAAGAGTCTCATGTCCTACCAACTGAGCTATCCTTTTAGTGCTATATTTTCTTTAACGCTCCTGCTATATCCAGGGCTATAACACATGAGCAGATAAGTCTGAGGTGTCCATCCATTGTCAAGCAACCTTTTACTTTAGCATCGTGTCGAGACGCTACTCATCAATTCGCTCCGGGGATTGTGATCAAGCAAATGGTGTGAGAAGACAGAGAGGTCTGGTGTCAGGTTCCTGATACGACAAAGACATTAAAGCCTCAGATGAAAGGCACATTTCTGTGGGGTCTTCCCGTATGAAATTCCAGTGGGGAAGCAGCAAAAGCAAAGGACCAATAACATTGTTCCCTTCCCCTCGCTAAGGGGCTAGGAAAGTAGTTTAGGAGGAGAGGGCAGGTGGACAGAAGGAGATGTACAAAGGTGCAACATTGGACAGGCAACACAATTTCTAGTTACTCTTCTTTTCCTTAGTTTGCTTTTCTTTTTAGTCATCCTTCACGTGCGCACAGATAAAAGCTTTCTCAGAGTAACCATACATTTGCTGACATGAAGATTAAGCAGCATTAAGCAGCTAATAGTCCAAATTTAGGAACAGCTTCGCACTTTCACAGCCTGTGCTGCAACAAAAAAGAAAGGGGGGGAGGGAAAATATCCCTGGTATCTTCTGGGGAAGGGAAGGGAAGGGTGGGAATTAAAACCTACAGGAAATTCTGGCATTTCTACTCCATGTAACTTTGTAAAAGGGATTTTCTGGGCTCATATCCATTATGAAAAAAAGACTGGGACCAAGAAAGAAATTTGCTTTGAGGAGTTTTTCTGACAAGGCTCCTTTTCTGTTCAAAACAGCTGCTGTCAGATGACTCAATGATTCCCCCCTTTTCTCATTTATTTCCATAAGCTGAGTCCTAAGCAACAGTGAAAGGCACTGGCCACAATCCAGCACTAGGTTAGTTAAATAAATGGGATTTAAGTATGCATAACCATATGCTAGATTGCAGCCATTTTATTTTCTCAGCGCAGGGCTGAGCGGTGCGTATTCCATGCTTAACCTTAAAAAAAACCAGCAACAACTCTTGCTATCTGGTTTGTGCAAACCGGGCATATTTTCACACCTATTCTTACTTTGACTTTAATTCTACTTTCAAATGTAACATTTTTTAAAAAATTATGAAAGCTGTTTGGTAAAGACGGGGGTGGGTAGAGAGGGAAATGTAGAGAGAAAAGGGGCTGGGGTCAGGCAAAATCAGCAAAAGGGTTTTAACACAAGTCTTTTTTGCTGCTGCTTATTTGTAAAGAGCTAAAAAGAGTGAGAGGGAGAGAATACCAATTAGAAAAGAGCCAGGACAGAACAATGGCTGCCTGCAAATGGCAGTTAGCAAACCTGGAGGCCTGCCTTGGGAATGTGCACTCCTGCCCCAAATGTACTACCCCTTCCCAGGAGAAAATCTCCCCTCCTTTCTTAACACCCACCTCAAACCACTGTTAACATCAATGCCGACAAACTACTTACAGACCCTCCAAGTGTCCCTATTTCCCAGGGACGCCCCTGATTTAGAGAAACCGTCCCAGTTCTCATTTGATCCCAGAATGTCCCAGAAGTAATAATAAAAATATTTAATAATAATTTAGTATTTATACCCCGCCCATCTGGCTGAATTTCCTCAGCCACTCTGGGCGGCTCCCAACCAAGTGTTTAAAACAGTACAGCATTAAATATTAAAAACTTCCCTAAACAGGGCTGCCTTCAGATGTCTTTTAAAGATAGGATAGCAGCTAATTTCCTTCACATCTGAAGGGAGGGTGTTCCACAGGGTGGGTGCCACTACCGAGAAGGCCCTCTGTCTGGTTCCCTGTAACCTCACTTCTCGCAATGAGGGAACCGCCAGAAGGCCCTCAGTGCTGGACCTCGGTGTCCGGGCTGAACGATGGGGGTGGAGACACTCCTTCAGGTATAAGGACCAAGGCCGTTTAGGGCTTTAAAGGTCAGCACCAACACTTTGAATTGTGCTCAGAAACGTACTGGGAGCCAGTGTAGGTCTTTCCAGACCGATGTTATATGGTCTCGGTGGCCGCTCCCAGTCACCAGTCTAGCTGCCGCATTCTGGATTAGTTGTAGTTTCCGGGTCACCTTCAAAAGTAGCCCCACATACAGCACATTGCAGTAGTCCAAGCTGGAGATAACTAGAGCATGCATCACTCTGGCAAGACAGACTGCGGGCAGGTAGGGTCTTAGCCTGTGTACCAGGTGGAGCTGGTAGACAGCCGCCCTGGACACAGAATTAACCTGCACCTCCATGGACAGCTGTGAGTCCAAAATGACTCCCATATTTTCCATATTTTCACTGGAGAAATGTTGGTGGGTACAGAGTTATCCGACCCCTGAGCTGTCTGAAGGCAATCCTGTATGGGGAAGTTTTATTTAATGTTTAATGTTTTATTATGTTTTGCTATATGTTAGAAGCTGCCCAGAATGGCTGGAGCAACCCAGTAAGATGTGTGGGGTATAAATAGTACAATTATCATTATGGAATGGGACGCCCCTATTTTCATCGGATAAATGTTGGAGGGTATGTAATTATATTTGGTAGGGGGAATGTTGCTCTAGGGAAGAGAGGATCCATTGGGTCTGTATTCCCAAGACTGGCTTCAAATCTGTTAAAAGTGTGGCTAGCCAAGCCACAATCATTATGGAAAACTCCAACAAGGATCCAACCATGGTCTACACAGCCGGTATCACACCTGCAGGAATAAGATATTACCAAGAACTGTGCTGTTGCAGATAAAGACAGATTTTGTGTACACAAAAGATCCTGGGGAAAGGGAGTCGATGATAAGGGCAATTTAGTTCCTTTATCTTTCCAGAACCATACACAATGTTAAATATAAGCCACGAGGGTTAAGTTAGGATTTGCAAACAAATGAAGCGGGCATTCATATATCACGTCAGCTTTCCTTATCTAATGTCAACTTGAATGGCAGCAATGGGCAAATACAGAGCGTTCTATTGTCACAACTCATCTGTGGGTTCCACCCCCTTCAGAACCCAGATGTTACACAGCAAGCTTTTCTGAATGTTTATATTAATGACAAAAAAAATGAGGACGGTGGTACCTTGTGGACCCAATATTGCGGGTAGTAATGGTGAATGCTTTAAAAAGAAGCATCCTTGTTTAGCACTGTGCTAAAGCCATCCTGCAGGAAAGTAGTTTAACCCCAAAAGCAGGTTCATCTTACTGGTAGCTGAAGGTGCAACTCCTGCTGCATCAAATGCATTTGTGTCAAATCCTACAAAACCGCGATGAATTTTTCAGCAATGCCATATGCATTTTCACCAGCACAACAAGGATTATTTCCACTTTCCAGAAAACAGTAAACAAGAGCGAGGTGCAGCTCAATGAAACTGCAGGCTCTTCCAATATACAAAACCATGGGACTCTCCAGAAGTTGTTGAACTCCCGTTCTCATCGATCGTCAGGAATGATGGGTGATGCAGTGCAAGTTGAGGGCCACAGATTCCCAACCCTGTACACAATTAAAGGTTTGCTTTAACTGACATCCTTCACCGTTCACAGAGGCAAAACTGCCTGTCAACTCTTGCTATAGTTGCTATAGTCCTCTGAGCTCAAGACTTTCAGAAAGAAAGGATCCCACTATTAGGTATGTTTTTATTTCCAACCCAAAGAGAAATAATCAAAGAAAGCTTTTTCCTGAATACTTTTGCCCTTTTCATGCAATAGCCCCTCAGTATGAACACACAACTTACAGCTCAACCGAGGAACGAAGAAAGATCCATCTCTTAAGGCTGCTCGTCTCTCCAAGAGTCATAATTCAAATGGAAACAGGATGGGGAAATGGAATGGACAATAAATCTGTGAGATGAGTCCAGAGAAGTCCGATATAAAATGAGCAGGCACACGTACAAAACAGAAACTCATTGGGGAATGGGATGTGCTTTAACCCCTTCCCTTCCAGAAAGTTCTGTTCCAACTACAGCTGTCCAAGCATTGTTCCAGCACCCAGGGTCCTGACCGCAGTTTTGGTTTCCGAGTCCAATTTTGAGAGGTTAGCTCTGGGGTCAGGCCATAGGAAATAACCCGTTAGCTATGACAAGAGTCTACACCGCAGAAGCCACAGCCAACTGTTGCAACACACTGGTAGAGATGTTTCAACATTCCATCTTCACTCTCGGTCTGCAAAAGTGCTGGTAGGATATCAATGTGCACAAAATAACATGATTGTCTCTTATGTGGTTTTCAGGAGGGGGCTAGGAGAGTCCTCTTATGCCCTTCCTTGCACAACTGCCCTGGGAGCAGGCTGGCAGCATCCTGAATCTTGAGTTATCTGATGGGAGGCAGTGATGGCCACTGTTAAGTTGTGGGTGAACATATCAGATGACACAGTGATTCTTCAAACAGCTCTTGTTTATTCACAGGCCAGAACAGAACTGAACTGAAGGGTTCAGTCAGCCTGCTTATATAGAGCTCCAGTACAACGTAACTGTAACAACTTTCTGTAACTATCCAATCACTGAACGTCACTTTCGATCCCTTATTTGCATATGTGGACCTGAACTATCTACAGTATCCCCCTGCTGGCCCAGGGTGAGAACTTCAGTACATAACAGCCACCAACATGGATGTCTTTAAAATAGACAAATATGCAAAACGGGCAAATCAATGGAGGACTATCCAAATCTCCTAACCATGATGGCTATGCTCTGCCTCCGAAGTCAGTAATATTACTGCCCCAGTAATATTGGGGCAGTAATATTGCCGGAAACCACAGGAAGCCAAAGGGCTCTTGGGCTCAAATCTGCCTTGTGGGTTTGCCACAGGCATCTGGCTGGCCACTGTGAGAACAGGGATGTTAATTTAGATGGGCCATTGGTCTGATCCAGCAGACGCTTCTTGTGTCCTTACGTTCCCGCACTCCACATTATCCCCTACAACTGCCTCATGGAATGAATTCTGGGAGGCCAAACAATCGCTTCCATGGGAACTCAGAGACAGCACTCCAATGATGCTGATGCTGATGATAATAATATTAAT